TATTTTTTCTATCGAGCTGTAATTCTGTATGCATCAACTAACCTTTGCCTCTCCCTACTCCCCTTCCCAGCCTTTAGTAACCACGATTCTGGATTAACAGATGACAGTTGTTATTTTTTTTTTCTACTTTTCTCCTTTTTAATTTTTTAAAATTAGAAAACCTCATTTTCTCATAGAAACTTAGAAAATACAGTTAAGTAAAAAGAAAATATCATTTGATATTTCACTTGGAGATAACTAGAATTTGCCATTTTGATCTCTATTCTATGACATACCATACGAAAACAGCTATACAAATATATGTTCTAAAATAACATAATCATATTATTCATACTGCTTTTTTAACTTGATAATATATTGTCCATGCCAATAAATACTGTTAATGCTGTTATTTTAATGGTTTCATGATATTCTATTATATGAGTATACCATTATATTTTCTCTTTTAATCTACTTCCATACTGTTGGGTAATTAGGCTGTTTCCAGTTTTCCGTTACAGTAAATTCTGCTGTCATGAAATTTCTTGTGCTAATATACATTGTCACTTGCTAATTTTGTTCTTTAAGACAAGAACCTACAAGCAGAATTGCTGATAAAGCTTATATACTCTTGATATATTACACTTCAAGAAAATTTGAAAAAAATTACCCCTTTCTGCATGTTCTCCATATTTTATGAGCACCCACTTTTCTAGTACCATTCAAACCTGGGTGTTGTTATGATTTTTAATCTTTGCATGTCTTCTACGGAAACAGCAATAGCTATTTGATTTTTGTTATTTTTTTTTAAACTACCCGTGGAAGGGAACATATTACTTCTTTCACTTTTAACGTATTTTAAAAATATAGTTGACAAAATAATGCTTGTTTCTACATGTCAAGAAAATGTTTAAAACATATTATCTATTATCATAATCCATTATTAAATGTTTCATCATTTCCATTTTTTATAGTTACTTAGAATAATTTTTGTCACTGTGAATAAAGTCCTTCACTCTACACTCGGGAACTTTTTTTATCTGTTAATCTTGTAAATATCAATAAGCATTATGTCTCACATGATTTTATCACTGTTTAGAATAACTGTTTTTTTCTGTAAACTAGTTATTAACCTAAAGGCAAATTGTAGCTATCAGGATAATCCTCGGTTGTGGTCTTCTATGATCTGGATTGAATTAGTTTAATTTCATAACCTGTAGCTTCCAAAAGAGTATACATTCTGGAGAAATACATAGTTTTAAAAATATTTAACATGTCTTTAAATAAATGTTAGAATTATTCTTGGTGTTATAGGTTATTAAAGAAGATACTCAATTATAAAAGTTCTTGTAGTACTAAATAATATACCGATGTTATATACTAAGGTTCAAGCTTTTTTTCAGTGTGCATCATTTGAACAATTTCTTCTATACCATATGAACAATAGTTTAATTATTTTTAAGAGATTGTAAGCCATAGTTTGTTAATTCATAAAGATTTCCAATTTTATCCTCCAGAGTGAAGTATTTGTGGCCTATAATCTTGCAAACTATTAATTCACTGGACGAATTAATTTCTTTTTATAAGGATGCTAATTAGATTTTTGCTATTGATGTGACTGAATTTAACACTTTATAAATAACTATGTTGGTACTATAGAAACACATGATTTTTACTGTAAGAACCAATGGAATTGTGGAAGACAAAGTAATCTATAATTGGAGAGATATGTAGTATCATATACTGTACATGTTTTACTAGTAGTTGCTTTTTTTTATAAGTTATAGAGCTGGTAACTTTTTTGAGTTTTATCATGTGGCAAATGAAAAGAATATTCATCTCTACCTGGCTGGATCCTTGTGAGGATCAGATGAGAACGTGCACATCCTGGCACAGTGTCTGCTACCTGGGAGGCAGTGAGGAAATGATCACTGCTCCTTGTCCTGGAACCAATGACTAAAGGCAAAGCAACGATTAAAATCATACATATACAAATGATACTTTCATTTTCCTCTTGTTTGTAATCTTTAACATGAATTTTTATCTCTTTTTAAGTTGGTGGTCGTTGCTTTTGACG